AAATCCTTTAAATCAACAATAAAAAGGCAGACAACCCCTTAGAAAAATGGACAAAAGTCTCAACAGGTACTTCATAAAAAAGAATATCCAAATGTCCACTAAACAACTGAAAAGGTCCTCATACTTCATTAGTTACTAGAGAAATATAAATTAAAATCACAATGTGATACCACCACATATCCATCAGAAAGGCTAATTTTTTTTTAACCTGTGGCTTGTTGTGCATGTTGGTTACATGAGTATTTCATTTTATGGAAATTTATTGACCTATACAATTACAAATTGAGTACTTTTTTGTTTGCATGCTACACTTCCATAGTCTGCTTAAAAAACAAAGCCTTTCAATATATATATATATTTTTTGAGGCAGGGTCTTACTCTGTCGCCCAGGCTGGAGTACAGTAGCATACTTACGGTTCACTAAAGCCTCAACCTCCTGGTGAAGCTAAAGTCTCACTAAAGGCTCACTAATGCCTCTACCTCAACTGATCCTCCTACCTCAGCCTCCCTAGTAGCTGAAACTACAGGTGTGCACCACCACATCCTGCTAATTTTTGTATATTTTGTAGAGGTGGGATTTTGTCATGTTACCCAGGCTGGTCTTGAACTCCTGGGCTCAATTGAGACTCCTGTCTTGGCCTCCCAAAGTGCTGAGGCTATAGCAATGAGTCACTGCATGTGGCCAACAATTTTGAACGTCATCTTTTTGTTGTTATTGTCCCCAAAGATTTTTTAGAGAATAAAAACAAAATATAATGTGAAATTTTATGAAGCACCATCCAGAGTCTCGAGGCATAAAAGAGGATCCTCAACTATAATCCTAAATCTTCTGAATTAAAATAACTAATTACAGGCTGGGTGCAGTGGCTCATGGATGTAATCCCAGCACTTAGGGAGGCTAAGACAGGTGGATCACCTGTGGTCAGGAATTTAAGACTAGCCTGGCCAACATAGTGAAACCTCATCTCTACTAAAAATATAAAAACTAGCTGGGTGTGGTGGTATGGGCCTGTAGTCCTAGCTAACTAGGAGGCTGAGTTACGAAAAATGCTTGAACCTAGGAGGTGGACATTGCAGTGGACCAAGATCGCACTGCTGCACTCCAGCCTTGGGGGACAGAGTACGACTTCATTTAAAAAAACAAAAAACAAAACTAATTATAGAGAAAAACGTAAAGAAATATCTAGGTAAGTGATAAACGATGCCAGAAAAATTAAGAACTGTAAATAAATATGATAAAAATATATAGTAGTACTGTCCTTGTAATTAGTTTTGTAATATAACAAGATAAAAAAATTAAAATTAAAAAGAAACAAATGTGGTAAAACAAAGTTTCATAATTCAGTATTATAGACTATAACCTTATAAAATATATATGCTATATACCACATTGCCTGGCAAAATCAAGCTGTTTTACCACTCACCATTACATGTGCTATAATTATTCAATATTTTAAAACACATTCCAGTTAGAAACCATTTTTCTTTAATTTTACTTACTCAGTGTATTGTGGCCAGTGTGAATACCTTGTATAACAGATGTTCTGAGTAGCAATTCAACATCAGAACCTATTTTCATTAGCTGTTAAGAAAACCAGACAAATAGATTAAGTCCTTTGGGTGTTTCATATGGATGTACTGTTTTTGAAAATGATGGTTTTACTATAATTTCTTTTCAGGTAATACAGTAGTTTCTCCTTATCTACAGTTTCAGTTACCCGTGGTCAACTATAGTCTGAAAATATTAAACAGAAAATTCCCCAAGTAAATAATGTATAAGTTTTTAATCACATGTCACTCTGAATAGCATGATGAAATCTCATGCCATCTGCTCCACCCTGTCCGGGATGTGAATCATTTGTTTGCCCAGCATATCTATGTTGTATACACTGTCTACCTGTGGTCCTTTAGTAGCCATCTCAGTTATCAAGATTGACTATTGTCACACTGCAGTGCTTATATTCAAGTAACTCTTATTTTACTTAATAGCTCCAAAGCATAAGAGTACTATGGCTAATTTATAAATTAAACTTTATCATAGGTATGCATATATAATAAAATGTAGGATTTGGTACAGAGATTTGAGGCATCCACTGAGGATTTTAGCATTTATCCTCTAAGGATAAAGGCGGACTACTATACTGCTTTTAACTTTTTTACCATTACAAGTAGCATAGAAAGCTCAGATATGCATATAGTTTTAACTTTTATCTATCAATTCTATATTTTGTTCCAAAACAGATTTAGAGTATTTTTTGTTACAATGCGTATTTTTAAGTGTGTTTAAGATGAACATTTTTGGAAGGGCAGTTGAATCTTTCTTTTATAGAGTTAGATGTTCGGAACACTTGAATTCCAACTATGGCTCTATCATTAAGTGTATGGCCTTGGGTTAATCCCCTACTCTCTGAGTTTCAGACCTCATCAAATACTATGTAGTTGGGAGACTTTGAGGACCTTTCAGGGATCTGTGAGGTCAAAATTATTTTCAAAACACTATAGTCTTCTGTATGGTTTGAGTTGTGAGCAGTAGAGCTTTCTCCATCAAAATACCATTCTTTATTTGACAGAACCACTGACAAATTAAGATTATTCAGACTTAGCTATTTAGCAAACACTTTTTGAAAAAGTAGAATGTGTCACTTCAAAGAAAACAACTGACAGTATTTGCTGACAAAACTGAGGCTTTCAAGCAAAACTCAGAATTCTGGAGAACTTGTATCTGCCAGGGCAAGCTTGATAACCTCACAATACTTAAATATTTTTTTCTGTCTTTGTTTTTGAGACACGGTCTTGCTCTGTCACCCAGGCTATCATAACTCACTGCAGCCTTGAACTCCTGGGCTCAAATGAGCCTCCCACTTCAGACTCCAAAAGTGTTGGGACTACAGGTGTGAACCACCATGCCCAGACTTAAAGATTTTTCTGATGAGATGGATATTAGTTTTGATAGATGTAATTTAAAAATATGTAATGAACTATGTCAACATCTAGAATATCTGTAGTATTTACTGAACTTGTACTTTCTAAATCATTACTGCATGATGTTACAAAATCATGCATAAGTAAAAAATCCATTCACAGGGAAATTTCTATTAAAGTCCATTAGTCTACCTAAATGAAGCTTTCAGGGCACATGAGAGAATATCACAAGAATAGGCAAGAGCATAAAAACCCTTAATGAGAAAACTTCCTGGTAAATTCAAGGACCCTCAAAGAAGGTGCTGAGATTGGAAGAGTGAGGGGTATGTGGTTCAAGTTGAGGTGGGAAGGTAACAAAGGTCAGATGACAGACAGTCTTGTAGCTCATGTTAAGCACTTTAGATTTTTCTTCAATGAGATGAAGAGTCATGGGGTTGTGAGTAGTAGAGTGCTGAGATATGCCTTTTAAAATGTTTATTCTGTCTTTAAAACTACTGAGAATAGGCTGTAGGGAGTGAGGCTGGAAGCAGGAGGAGGCTGTTGTAACAAGAGAGATGATGGTGGCTTGGACTCGGAGATAATAACGGGGAGGATGAGAAGTAGTTGAGTTCTGTATATATTAATATTTTGAGATTTAAGCCAACAGGATTTGCTATCAGACTGGATATAAGTGTGAGAGAAGGACAGCAGTCAAGAAAGCACCAAGGTTTTTAGTCTGAGCATCAAAAGGAAAGCTGGAATTAACTGCCATGGAGATGGCTGTGGGAGAGCAAAGCCTCACCTCCTGACACCGGGGAAGGGGCTTAGCAGGGAAGAGAAGGAGAAAATAATGGGTCTCCTCACCCACTGGAGGTAAATAAACTGAGTCAAGTCCTAGATACAAGGCTGGAAACAAGGCTAGTTGAGGAATAAGGGACTGGGGGGGACCAGAGATGATGAGGAGAAGGCAGTCTGTATGAATCCTGGACCACCCACCTCAAAAAAAAAATTCCATTGGTCTGACAGATAACAGAGTTCTGCACTGGAACTAATCTTCAAGAAATTACCACATGTCAGGGTATATTATTAAAAAATATTCATAATTATATGGCTTATGCCTGTAATCCAACACTTTGGGAGGCCAAGGCAGGAGGATCACTTGAAGCCAGGAGTTTGAAACCAGCCTGGGCAACAAAGCAAGACCTCATCTTTACCAAAAAAATAAATACAATGAAAAAAATCACAATTACCTACAAGCCTGTTCTATACTTCTACTCTTTTTGAACTACGTATCTGTGTGAGGCTGAATTTTCTTCATATACTTCAACCTAAAAAACATGTTGCAGGGGGCCAGGTGCAGTGGCTCATGCCTGTAATCCCAGCACTTTGGAAGGCTGAGGTGGGTGGATCACCTGAGGTCAGAAGTTTGAGACTAGCCTGGCCAACATGGCAAAACCCTGTCTCTATTAAAAATACAGAAATAAGCTGGGAGTGGTAGTATGCGTCTGTAATCCCAGCTACTTGGGAGGCTGAGGCCTCCCAAGGAGAATCTTGAACCCTCTTGGGTTCAAGGAGAATCGCTTGAACCCAAGAGGTGGAGGCTGCAGTGAGCTTGGATCGTGCCACTGCACTCTAGCCTGGTCAACAAGAGTGAAGCTTCGTCTCAAAAAAAAAAAAAAAAAAACCCAGCAAAAAACCAATACCATTCTTCTCATTAAATTTTTTAGAATAGTTATTTTTCATAAATACTATGTTACTTATTAATATTTAAGAAATTATTATTTTAAAATCAATTAATACATATTTTAAAGATGTCTCAGTTTATATTTCTAATATGGTAAATATTGATATAAACAAAAGCTTTTTGGGGTCCTCAATTTTTAAGATTGTAAAGGTTCTTTGAGACCACCAAGTTTGAGAACTGCTGGTCTAGAGAGGATGCCTGACTCCTTTTTAGTACCAAGACTCTATCAGCCCTCTAATAACAATGCAATTATTTAAAAACTACTAAAATCTTAATATTTCAGAGTTGCAGAAAGTACAAATATACATTTGTATATAACAAATATGTAATTTCTAGATTGCTTAATGTTAAACTAATGCTCTGTAAGTAAAATGAATTTGGGAGATTGTAGTTCAATTTGCGAGACTGTAGTTCATTTTCCCAGTTTTATAGTTCATTTTCCCAGACCTCAATTTACAAATCTTTAATCATAATTTCAAAATTAAAAAATAATTACCATATTGTTATTAATCAGTTTACTGAATAACAAACAGTACAAATTTCTTCATATACCTTTAACCTCCCTTCAAGTCATGACTTGATTATACTGTCATCTCTATGTCTGCTGTGAATAAAAATTAGATATTCCCTATTTGCCCTATCATATGTTTCAGCAAAATCTTTCCCATTTTGTTTATTTTACAGAGAGGGAATACTTAGGCTATCTCATAAGCTTCATTATTACAGGTATTTACTATTTCAAAAATAGCACTTTTCTCCACTAAATATAAATGCATTTTTTTTTCATTTGGAAATGACATTAAACATGGAAGAACTTCTCTAGTTTGTACCTTCCTTTGTACCAAATCAATTCTTATAACCATAACTACCTTGTAAATTATTTTCCATTTTTTGGTTTTCTTCCTAAGGTTCCTTTCCTTACCTTTATACAGTTAGACACAGGAAGCTGAGGACAGAGATAATGTGTATATGCCAGAACACATAATATACAGGAAAAGAAAAATTGGGCATTTTTTTCAATCAACTTTTACTAGGAGTATTAGGGAGCTGAAAGAGTAGTGTCTGTACAGTGTCTTCAACTAGAACAAGTGACCAAAATGCAAATACAGAAAGCAAAGCAAGAACAGTTCATACTGTGACTGTTTATGTCATTGCCAAGATGGGATTAAAAATAAATATCTGCTTAGTTCAGCTAAAAGAGTAGAAGTTCCCTCTGTAATTCTGAGTTACTACAACACTCATTCTCTTTAGTTTCAGTCACTTGCTCTAGGTGAAGATAGAATTTCCATGGGTTTCTGGGTTTATTTAGCTGCTCTGGCTTTGACCATGGCTATTTCTATGTTCTGTTCATGGGGCACCTTGCTGTATTTTGGGTGCTGGCAGATGACCCTGACGAGGTGAGCCACACCAAATAAGTGAAGGTTACCTACAGTTGTGATGGCCTTAACTATCAAGAAATGTTTTTTATTTCACATAACCTCTCTATCTTCATCATTTCCTCTTTGTCAAAAAAATTGTATAAGTTTTGCTGTAACTGAAAAAATTACTGTACCTCTTCTATTTTCTTAGGAGAAGTTTCACTTTTATTATTTTTGAATTCTTCATTTATCTTTATTCTGGCTGCTACAAAAAGAAAAATACATATAGTTACTTGCTTTTGTAATCTATAATTCCTATCTCAATAATTTACATGTTATTAATTATGAATGGCTACTTCTCTAGTATAGAAAATAGTTTTGCCCTCATGAAGAACGAAGCATAAGAATAAGAAGTTTGCTGGGTGCAGTGGCTCACGCCTGTAATCCCAGCACTTTGGGAGGATGAGGTGGGGGGATCACGAGGTCAAGAGATCAACACCATCCTGGCCAACATGGTGAAAACCCATCTCTACTAAAAAATACAAAAATTAGCTGGGTGTGGTGGCATGCACCTGTAGTCCCAGCTACTCGGGAGGCTGAGGCAGGAGAATTGCTTGAACCCAGGAGGCAGAGACTGCAGTGAGCCAAGATCATGTCACTGCACTCCAGCCTGGCGCCTGGTGACAGAGCGAGACTCTGTCTCAAAAAAAAAAAAAAAAAAAAAAAAAAGAATAAGAAGTTTATTAATGAAGTCTCTTGAAGGACTTTTGACAGGCTGACAAATTTGTAAGAAAACCTACTATAAACCTTTGGCACCCTAATACTTTTTCTTCCACTGATTTTTACTCTTAAATTCATTTGTATACCTATAGCTATTGAATTCTAATAAATCTAATGTTTTATTTTTACAAATCTAAGGATTTCTATTAAAATGCTTTTTTTAAGATGGTAAAATTCAATAATAGAAGTATGTTAAACTATATACACACACAAAGATTGGTAGCAAACAGGATATATGTGTACATATATAAAATTTTAAGTGTCTTGGCTGACATATAAAGCGAGTGAAAAATAAAACTTTTGTTCACATATACCTCTGAGAGTTTGGTATCATCACAGTAGCCTACTTTGGTGGAATCTCACTGGCCTTATTGTGCTGCTGTGAGCATTTGATGGAACAATCCATATAGAGTGTTTAACAATTATGCCACAAATTGTTAGCTGTCCTTATAACTATTCCACTTAAAAAATTTAAAGCAACAAAAATATTCCATGTTGATAATTACCATAAAAACTTTCTTCTATGTTGTGTGTGTATATATATACATATATACGTTATATATATATTTTTTTCTTTTTTTTTTTTTTCAGATGGAGTCTGCTTTGTTGCCCAGGCTGGAGTGCAGTGGCACGATCTCAGCTCACTGCAACCTCTGCTTCTGGGTTCAAGCAATTCTCCTGCATCAGCCTCCCAAGTAGACAGGATTACAGGTGTGTGCCATCATGCCTGGTGAATTTTTGTATTTTTGGTAGAGGGGGGATTTCACCATATTGGCCAGGCTGGTCTCTAACTCCTGATCTCAAGGGATCTGCCTGCCTTGGCCTCCCAAAGTGCTGGAAGTACAGGTGTGAGCCACCGTGCCCAGGCTATGTTGCATATATTTTAATATGTAAGGTGGTTTAGAGTTTGTACTTTTGTTTTTTGGGTTTTTTTAGACAGGGTCTTGCTCCGTCGCCCAGGCTGGAATGCAGTGGCACGATCTCAGCTCACTGCAGTCTCTGTCTCTCAGGTTCAAGCGATTCTCCTGCCTCAGCCTCCTGAGTAGCTGGGACTACAGGCATACACTACCATGCCTGGCTAATTTTTGTATTTTTAGTAGAGATGGGGTTTCACCATGTTGGCCAGGCTGGTCTCGAATTACTGACCTTGTGATCCCTCCACCTCGGCCTCCCAAAGTGTTGGGATTAGAGGCGTGAGCCACCACGGCCCGCCTAGAGTTTGGACTTTTGAATCAGACAGCTTAGGCTAAATCCCAGGTCCACCTCTTACTAAGTATGATGTGGGACAAATATTTTCACATTTTGTCAATTTTCTCATTTGCAAAAACGGTAATTATAATAGTAACCATCTCACAGAAATGTTGTAAGAATTAAATCAGGAATTCATGTAAAGTACATACAATACATATATCTTAATCATTCAGAAATTATTTTTGACGAGTTACAAAAACGTAAATCCTTGGAAAACAGTGGGGACACTTTTCCTAGGTACACTCTTAAGGAGGTTTAGAAATGTATGAGGGGTGGGCCAGGCACATTGGCTAACACCTGTAGTCCCTGTACTTTGGGAGGCCGAGGTGGGCAAATCACTTGAGGTCAGGACTTCCAGACCAGCCTGACCAACATGGAGAAATCTTGTATTTACTAAAAATACAAAACTAGCTGGGTGTGGTGGCACATGCCTGTAGTCCCAGCTGCTAGGGAGGTCGATGCAGGAGAATTGCTTGAATCTGGGAGGCAGAGGTTGCGGTGAGCTGAGATGGCACCACTGCATTCCAGCCTGGGCAAGAAGAGTGAAACTTTGTCTCAAAAATAAACAAACAAATAAATAAATAAAAATAAAAAATAGAAACGTATGAGGAGTGGAATTGAACATGACTATCACAGAACCTAAATTTCAGAGCCTGTGACTTCCAGGTAAGATAGAAATTACCTAAAACAGTGAGATACTGAATCTGAAATCATTTGGGATGGCTTCTCTTTCACAGCTGCTCTTTTAGACTGACATAAGACATAACAACATGGTAATATATAGTCCTAGAGAGTGTGAAAATTTGATTATATAACAGAAAGTTCAATGACTTGAATATAAGGCAAGCAATGGTAAACACTGAAATTCTGGTCCCTTGCCTTTTAACTGACTCTTTATGAAGACTTAATCTTTAAAAATTTTTCTTTAAGTAGATATTCCTCAAATAAGTGTAATATAGCTGGGCATGGTGGCTCACACCTGTAATCCCAGTACTTTGGGAAGCCGAGGTAGGTGGATCATGAGATCAGGAGATGGAGACCATCCTGGCTAACATGGTGAAACCCCGTCTCTACCTAAAAATACTCTACTCTGTAAAAACCCTGTCTCTACAAAAAATTAGATGAGCGTGGTGGCGGGCGTCTGTAGTCCCAGCTACTTAGGAGGCCAAGGCAGGAGAATCACTTGAACCTGGGAGGTGAAGGTTGCGGTAAGCGGAGATCATGCCACTGCCCTCCAGCCTGGGAAACAGAGCAAGACTCTGTCTCTAAAAAAGAAAAAAAAAAAGGGTAATATAAGCTAATCTTTATAAAAGGATATTAGGGAAAGGTAGTGAAGGTCATTCCCTAAGATGGATCTTAACCACACAGGGTTTCTCAGATAGATGAGTAGTCATCTAAAAAGCAGACTGGCTCCAAAGAGGTAAAGAACATACTTACCTTCTAATGCTCTGGCATCATTTCTAAAAACTTGTTGTCTGGTCCTGTGCAGTGCTTTAAAGAGCTGTAAAACCTGTTAAGAAAATCAGAATTCAAGGCCAGGCACAGTGGCTCATGCCTGTAATCCCAGCACTTTGAGAGGTTGAGGTAGCAGGATTGCTTGAGTCCAAGAGTTTGAGACAAGCCTGGGTGATATGAAATCCCATCTCTACAAAAAAAAAAAAAATTTTTTTTGAGATGAGTCTCACCCTGTTGCCCAGGCTGGTCATGATCTCAGCTCACTGCAACCTCTGCCTCCGTGGTTCAAGCAATTCTCCTTCCTCAGCCTCTCGAGTAGCTGGGATTACAAGTACATGCCACCACGCCCAACTAATCTTTATTAGCGATGTGGCTTCACCATGCTGGCCAGACTGGTCTCGAACTCCTGACCTCAGGCAATCCGTCCGCCTTGGCTTCCCAAAGTGCTGGAATTATAGGCGTGAGCCATCAAGCCCGGCCCTTTTAATTGCTATTTCATAAAAGCCAAGTGAAATGTTGAGACTTATGAATATTCTGAGTCTGTATTTTTTTTTTAAAAAAAGAGAAGAGATCCTGGCATTTGGTAAAAGACAGATTGTGAAGAGGCTTTAGTGATAGGCTTAGGTCACTTCACAGTTCTCAAGTCCAAAAAAGTACTCAATACTATTCTCCAATATTGCTCTTCTCCACTATTCTCTATTTTAGTTATTGGAGGCCACCAAGTTTCTGAAGCCAGAAATCTGTAGGTCATCCTTTTAATCCAACTTACTCTTCTTGTGGAAACTTTAGGAATGTCTCTATAATCTTTCTCACATCCTCTATCAACAAAACTACTTACATTCAGATGTTCCCCATCTCTTAGACTACTTTCAAAGGTTTGTCATTTTGCCACCATATCCTCCTCTCCTCCAGTCTGTTCTACAAATAATTTCTAATATTTACTAAGCACACTGTGTGCTAGACACCATTTTAAGTGTTTTACATGTATTAGAAAACCTATAACATAAAAGGCAGATGCAAAAACAGAAACAAAAGACAGAGCAAAAAAACTTTAAAACTAGAACAAAAACCAAGCAGCCATAAAAAACTTTCTCAAAAATATGTTATTGCAGAGATGGAATAACATCCATGAAAAGCTATAGTAAATTTAAAAAGGAACATTCAGAAAACTCCCAAAAGCACTTGGCTATCAAACAGGTGAGAATAAGGATTAAATAAGAAAAATTGCCCAGAATATAGAATAAAAGTTTAGAAATAGAAATTATGGAGAGGAAAGATAAGAAAATTAAGGAGAAGGCCCAACAGTTAGATTAGCAGAAGGGCCAACAAAAGAAAGAAGAGAAAACAGAGGAAAGAAATTTTAAAAATTTCACTTAATGTTTGGGTAAAAGGGAAGAAAAAAAATTTCACTAAATAAGGCACATGAGTTACAAGATAGAAAGGGTTCCACCAAGTGCCCAACATAAAACTTATACCACAGCACAGCATAATGTAAGTTGAGTGTGATGCTGATAATGATAAAATCTCAGAGAAAAAACAATTCACATGTAAAGAAAAAAAATCAGAATGGCAGCTGATTTCTAAATAGCATCACTGTAAGAAGACAGTGGAATAATGAATATTATTCAAGTTTTGAAAAAATGTCTGCCTTAGAACACCATATATACTCAAACTATCACTCAAAGACAAGGGTAAATACATATTTTCAGAAACACAAAGTCTCTTATCTGTCATACACACTTTATTGGAAAGCTACAGAAGAACATACTCCACCAAAATAAGGAAATGAACCACAAAAGGAAAAGACATGGGAACCCAGGAGACAGGTGGTCTAATGTGGGAGAAGCAAAGACCACGGGGAAAGAGAAATGCTAGTCAACATTTGTGCAGCCAGACTAGAAAGCAACTAGTCAGGACTATAGCAAAAGGCTGAATTGCTCCAGAAAAGGCATTGCTAGGAAAAATGAAACTGGTAGACTCTTTTTGTCTAGAATTTGTGAATAGATATCTAGGGTATCTATTAAAGAACATTTTTAAAAAGTAATAATTTTTAAAAGGCAGTTATTAAAGATGAAGAACTGGGAAAAAAGACAATGTAATCATATATAGTACTAAAGGGCTCAGCTCTGGATAATTTTTATAGTAATAACATCAAAGATAAAAGCTAATTCACCAATATTTATATACTGAAGAGTTAGTGAGTAAGGGGGAGCTAGTCCTCATCTTCCATAGTTAAAAGTCGATAAATATCTCTAAAAAGAAGTGCCAATAAATAGCAGTTTAAATATGTTATTTAGAAACATTGAGATAAATTCCACAAGAAATAGCTAAAATGATTAAAAGTGCTTATCACTAAGAAGCAGGAATTGAGAGTAGGTAGAAGGAAATAGGCACCTAATGGTTTTCTATGTAACATTATTTGACTTCTTAAACTTTATGCATTTATTATACTTATAAAAATTTATATTATAAAGAGAAAGGGAAAGAGCATTATCGAAACAGGAAAAACACCCTTTTGTCTTTGGGTCAAAAAAGAAAAGAAAAAAGAAAAAAACCTCACAGATGAGAGCATCAAGAAAACTTGGGTAAAAGAAAGAAAATCCCACAGAATGGAAGACAATGTTTGCAAATCATATGGCTGATAAGGGCCTAGGATCAAGAGTATATAAAGAACTCATACAACTCAACAGTAATAAAATTTTTAAATCCTAATATAAAAATAGGAAGACATATATGACAAACCCACAGCCAACATCACACTGAATGGGGAAAAGTTGAAAACATTCCCCCTTAAACCTGGAACAAGACAAAAATGTCCACGCTCACCATTCCTAGTTTACATAGTGCCAGAAGTCTAGCCAGAGAAATCAGGCAAGGAAAAGAAGTAAAAGGCATCCAAACTGGAAAAGAGAAAGTCAAATTCTCTCTGTTTGCAGATGGCAGGATCTTATACCTAGAAAACCCTGAAGATTTCTCCAAAAGACTTCTAGACCTGATAAACAACTTCACTAAAGTTTCAGGATACAAAATTAATGAATAAAACAGTTGCATTTCTATATACCAAAAACATTCAAGCTAAGAACCAAATCAAGAACTCAATTCCATTCACAATAGCCACAAGCAAACACACAATACTTGGGAATTCATTTAACCAAGGAGGTGAAACATTTCCACAGGGAGAACTTCAGAACACTGATGAAAGAATTCATAGATGACACAGACACACATGGAAAAACATTCCATGTTCATCAACAGGAAAAATCAGTATCTTTAAAATGACTATGCTACCCAAAGCAATCTACAAATTCAATACAATTCTCAAATTATCAATGTCATTTTCACAGAATTAGAAAAAAAAAATCCTAAAATTCGTATGGAACCAAAAAAGAGCCTGAATAGCCACAGCAATCCTAAGCAACAAACAAACAAAAAATAAAGCTGAAGGCATCACACTACCTGACTTCAAACTATACTACAAGGCTAGGTAACCAAAATAGCAAGGTACTATGCAAAAATAGACCCATAGATCAATGGAACAGAATAGAGAACCCAAAAATAAAGCCACACACCTACAGCCATTTAATCTTGAACTCAGTGAACAAAAATAAACAACGAGGAAAGGACATCTTATTCAATAAATACTGCTGAGAAAACTGGCTAGCCATGTTTACTAAAAAGAAACTGGATCCCCATCTCTCACCATATACAAAAATTAACTCAGGATGTATTAAAGACTTAAATCTAAAACCTCAACTGATAAAAACCCTAGAAGAAAACCTAGGGAAAATTCCTCTGGACATTGGCCTTGGTGACTAAGATTTCAAAAGCAAATGCAACAAAACCAAAAGTAGACAAATGAAACTTAATGACACTAATGAGCTTCTGTGCTGCAAAAGAAGCAATCAACAGAGCAAACAGACCACCTACAGAATAGGAGAAAATATTTGCAAACTGTATATCCAACAAAGGACTAATATCCAGATTCTATAAGGAATGGAAACAAATCAACCACAAAAAATTCCAAACAGCCCCATTAAAAGAAGACATACAAGCTGTCAACAAACAAGGGAAAAAAATGTTTAACAACACTAATCAACAGAGAAATGCAAATGAAAACCACAAGGAAATACCATATCACACCAGCCAAAATGACCATTAAAAAGGAAAAAAACAAAACAAAATAGATGTTGGGCATGGTGGCTCATGCCTGTGGTCCCACCACTTTGGAAGGCTGAGGCGGGTGGATCACCTCAGGTCAGTAGTTCAAGACCAGCCTGGCCAGTGTGGAGGAACCCCGTCTTTACCAAAAAAAATACAAAAAAATTAGCTGGGCGTGGTGGTACCTGCCTATAATCCCAGTTACTTGGGAGGCTGAGGCAGGAGATGCTTGAACCTGGGAGGCGGAGGTTGCCGTGAGCCGAGATCGTGCCATTGCACTCCAGCCTGGGCAGCAAGAGCAAAACTCTATCTCAAAAAAACCCAAAATGAAACAAAACAAAACAAACAGATGTTGGTGAGGATGCAGAGAAATGGGAACACTTATACACTGTTGGTGGAAATATAAATGAGTTCAACCTCCATGGAAATCAGTACGAAGATTTCTCAAAGAACTAAAAATAGAACTACAATTCAGCCCAGCCATCCCACTAGTAGGTAACTACACAAAAGAAAATAAATGGTTTTATAAAAAAGACACCTGTGCTCATATGTTTATTGCAGCACTGTTTACAATAGCAAAGTCATGGAATCAACCTAAGTGTCTATCAACAGCTGATTGGATAAAGAAAATGTGGTGTGTGTGTGTGTGTGTGTGTGGGTGCATGTGTGTGTGCGTGTGTGTGTGTCATGGAATACTATGTAGCTGTAAAAAATGAAGTCACGTCCTTTGCAGCAGCTGCAGGAGACCGTTATCCTAAATGCCATAACTCAGAAACAGAAAAATCAAATACTGCATATTCTCACTTATAAGTAGGTGCCAAACAATGAGTACACATGGATAGAATGATAGAAGTAATAGACACTGGGGACTCCAAAAGGGAGGAGGATAGGAAAGGG